CTACCTCTCCGCCTAAAAAGAAAAGGGAAGTCAATTTCAAAAAATGCACCTAGTTATCGTATTTCACTAGTATGAAGCAGAAAAACTGAGCAGAGAAAAATGAAGACTCGAATAAGATTATTTTCCGGATATCAGGCATGAACGTTAGGCAAGACTTCGAAAGTTAAACAAGTTTTTTTATGAGTACTGTAACAAGGATTCGAAGGCAAGCTTCTAGAGTAAATACGACGCAAACTTGAAGACACAATCCGCTTTTGCGACTCGAAACGGCCTGATAAGCTCCCAAAGATTAGGGTCATATTTAGAGCATTTTTGTCTATTTGATTTGCTTTTTCACAATAAATATACGCCTCCAAAGCTATGAACCACCCCATCTATGTTCCTGAGCGCAACTACCCACGAGGGGCAAACTACTTTTCAGTGGCCACAGACACATTTCGCGATAACCGTGTGGGCGGAGACCTAAGCGTATACTACGCCGGCTCAACTGTTTCAAAAGTCAACTTTACAGGACCTCGAATGAATTTCACCACTTACCTCCACTTCAAGCTCTCCTCGACGTGCCACTGTTGCCGACCGGGGAGGAGCACGTTCAGCCTCGGACGAATCGACTGCGCATTCGTTCAACATGGTTCCAGAAGCTGTATCAACGGAAAACCTCTAAAAATAGCAAGAAGAGAAATAAATACAAAGTGACGAGATCAATGAAAATGTACCTTGTCAGTTTCACACGACTCAAAGAATGGTGGGTTACACATACAGAATGAAAACTGTAGATCACTGAATTGCCGAGTCAAATCCTAGAATAAGTGACCAGAAATTAAAGGAAAAATTCCTCTGAGAAGCATCTTAGCACTTTATATCCATCGGCTTTCCGAACATTTTGGGGGAATTGGTGTTCAGAGTTTGATCGAAAAGTACAGTACAAGATCGGCGATCGCCGCTCAAAACGCCATTCTTCAGAAAAGTCGAGTCGCAAAGTATGGATCTCCCTTCGTGAGCAGGTAGTCAGGTCCGCAGAAGCAGCGATTGCAACACTTTCGCGGCGCAAAAACGAGTGAGGAGGCCCGCGATACCGTCCTCTCATTGGCCCATCCCCCTACCATTGGCACCGCCCACCCTTCATTTCTGATGGTTCCCTGATGGTGGTCTGCTACTAACTCTCTTCACTTCGAATGGTGAGAGTGAGGTGAGAAATAAAAGCTGATAACAACAAGTAAGGACTATGCGATTCACTGCCCTTTTCCTCAGCCTATCAAGCATAGACTAATTTTGTACTACATTCAAGTTTTTTTTTATTTTTCTTGAAAACGGAGGGAAAATGCCAAAAGTTCAAAGCAATTACCGAGGCTGACAGAGACTAAGCTAAAAATATGAAGGAGAAGTTACCTGGACAGTAAGAAAAACCGAAGATTTCCCTACACAAGGAACTTACCTTGATTAGCGTTGGAGAGTGTTCACTAACATGTACAACCCGTACGAGATGACTGAGCTGATTACGAACGACATTGTCATTGGCTGCATGAGCGGCTTCATCGTTCGCTTCTGTGGCTATAAATTTCCATCCAGCCCAACGTGCACCCAATAAAGCATAAACACAAGACGCTCCAGTACCTGGAAATGGCATCTGTAAGAGTGCGTTCATACTTTCAGAATGTTCTGTCTCGGAAAATATAGATTATACTGTAGTGCATTGTTGGGCGCTGTTGTGCAGCTGCGTGATGCGTTTGGCGTGGTGCCAAACTCGTTCACGAGTTGTACAAGCGAGCAAATAAAAATACTGTATCATACCCTTCGTGTTACTTGTTTTCTGATGTTTTTTGTCGCATGCCCGTTTCAACAAGAAGGCAGAGAACAGCTCAAAGAGGGTGACACACTCCTTCTGGCTGACACGGTCACGTCCGCAGCAAAGTAGAGTGTACTTTATTTAGCGTCTTGAGCGCTATGCCAGCGTCTTGAGTGTTCACCGAGCATCGGCTAACTAGGGAGGTCGTTCAGGACGTGGAGCGCTTTTTGAAAACGGTTTTTCGCATGATGTGGGGTCACGTGCAGGAGTACCTGGTGTTCATTTTTCCTGAACGCCTCTGGGAATGCCAAAAATGGAGTGAAAAAAAGTCCATGGAAACCGACTGTTTTTGAGCCTGAATGGGCTCTAAATCACTCGCAACTTCGGCCAGTTGCTGCCTATAGGGTCCTTATAAAGGTTGGTATCGATGAGAAAAGTGGTCGTCAATGGGGTCTTACTTGTGGCACGTAGTTAAGAGTCGACGGCCAATTCGAATGGGCTCTTAAGCAATCGAAGTGGTGCCTGTGCCAACGATCGGATGGCCTAGTGGATAGCGTGGAGGATTCCCAAGCAGGCAGTGGGGATGGGGATGATGGTTCGACTCCCCTCGGCTTGCACGTTTTTGCATTTTTTATTTTCCGTTGTTGTCGCTTCCATATACGTCTGTTAATGAATTTTACTCGGATATCTGCCATTTATAGGCACATCCTAAATAGTTATAGCCCGTAGTCGGTGCTATTCAGCGAATTTCGATTTCACATACCATTAAGCAAGAACTTGTCTGAAAGCTGAGCTTATGTTATTCGATGCCCTGATCATGACTATGCATTTACTTTCAGCTCTAGTGCCATTTATCTCCAATTTGGAGCCAAGTCTTTCTCCCACTGGAGTCGCTATGTACATTCGTTTGAGGGACTTGCAGGGCCATTCTGACGCCAGATTGGATTGACGTCAAGAATAAGTGTCAGAATCGTGATCAGGACCATCGATTACCCCTATAGGCAAACTTTCGGCCAAAAAAATTTTTTTGACTTTTTTGAGTTGTGATAGACCGACCATTTGGTCGTCGGTGATGACCGGAGACCCACAACTTTGGAGCTGCGATGACGTAGCGATGACGTGGTGGGCCGCCGGGCAGCCGCATCGCGGATTTGGTGCTCATAAGGTCCATTCATACTTGGGCATGGGTGGCCGCAGAACAAGTGAAAAACCATCCTGGACATTTGTCGACCCCCGCGACGGCTCGCTCAACGAAGATGTCGTCCTCCCCTACCAAGAGGAGAGACTCATCCGATTTCTTCATCAAATGCACCTGGAGGAATGATGACTATTTTGTTCTTTTTTTCGATGGCGTTTATGGTTGTTGCTAGTTTTTTGTTTCCGTACCACTGAATGAGGGTTTCGATAACCAGCAAAAGTACGACTTCAACAAAGTGACTCTTGAGCATAACCCAATGCACAGACTCAAAAAAGTCAAAAAAATTTTTTGGCTGAAAGTTTGCCTATAGGGGTAATCGATGGTCCTGATCACGATTCTGACACTTATTCTTGACGTCAACCCAATCTGGCGTCAGAATGGCCCTGCAAGTCCCTCAAACGAATGTACATAGCGACTCCAGTGGGAGAAAGACTTGGCTCCAAATTGGGGACTACGTGCCACAAGTAGGACCCCATTGGCGACTACTTTTCTCATCGATACCAGTACCTTTATAAGGACCCTATAGGCAGCAACTGGCCGAAGTTGCGAGTGATTTAGAGCCCATTCAGGCTCAAAAACAGTCGGTTTCCATGGACTTCTTTTTCACTCCATTTTTGGCATTCCCAGAGGCGTTCAGGAAAAATGAACACCAGTTTGGTACTCCATGCACGTGACCCCACATCATGCAAAAAACCGTTTTCAAAAAGCGCTCCACGTCCTGAACGACCTCCCTAGTAAGAACGCTGTCGCATGCTCAAAACGCTAGATCGATATCTACACTTTCCTAGTCGCTCAAAACGCGCACGCAAAATATGAAGCAGTCTTAGGCTCTATAGTGTAGGTGGCACCTGTGTGCATACATTTTCCAGTTGAGAAAAACAGGTCGTCGAGCCTGAGAAGTCGCTGTGCGGGTGAGGTGATCAGTTTTTTGACATTGATGCGCCCAAACTTTGGACGCGCGTAAGTCGCAATTTGGGAAAACGAACCAGAAGAATGTTCGACAAGGAATAGCAAGAATGAAAAATGAGGCTGACTCCATCCCAGCGGCGCTGTTGCTACTAACTAGTGGGTATTTCTCATTCGCAAGATATAAGGCAATCAAGGTTTTCAAGATGTATTACTCCTTGGCTGTCATACTTTTGGTCGTCTGATTGTCGTGTTAGCGTTTTGCGGGAAAAGGAAAGTATAGGTATCCATCAACGTTTTGAGAGAAACGCTACGTTAAAGGAAAAGCACATGTTCGTGTTCCTCGCAAAACGATGGATCGATACTTGTATTAGGTTGATGCATATGTTTTGCCCCGACTTTTTTGTAAATATCTCAATAGCGAACCAGCCTGAAGATTAGAGGTATGCACCATCACCATCCACTACTCGACGCCAACGCTCAGGCAGCTTGTCGATTCCATCGTCCCAGAAGGACGGGGGCTGGGACCCGAAGAAGGCCACAATGCCGCACAATCACCACTGTGACATGGTTTTGCACTGGTAATTGTGCGGCATTGTGGCCTGCAAATGCAGGGTGGGTGAGTGATAGCTAGTGTGATGAAAGAGTATAGTGCCCACGTCACGCAACGTGATGACGATATACCAACATCCCAGGCAACGAATACGGAGGGTCAAAAAATCAAAAGGGGGCCGAATAGACATATGCATCAACTCGTAAGAATCCCTTCCGCCCAAACGCTCCGCTGAGAAAATTATGAAAAGCCCAAGAGGGAATGTGCGTGAATAATAACTCCAAAAACCATGCATGGAAGACAATAAAGAAACTGACCAATGTCAATACCCACAATATCCTGTTCAATTTGATTGAGTTTTAATAAATCTTCAATAAAAAGTATATAATTCAACGCGTTTGAGGCAATGACGGAGAACTAAACATATCCGTTGGGAGCTCATCTAAAGTAATGTAGGAAACGAAACCGTTAGAGAAATGAAGGTAAAATTTTACCTCGAGATCAAAATCCTTTTTCAATAAAGCCTTGGCAAGTGAGCGAACGGCTCCATCCTCTTGAAAGTTCACAAATACCTGGAATAAGGGCTCAATGATGGTGAGGTCGCGTTCATACTGTGCGACACTGCAAGATGGGAGAACGAGCGACTAAGGAATAAAGAGTGTTGACCTGCGTGACGAGCGGAGCATAGGCATGTAGAAGATCGGAGAAGGCGCACACCACCGGAGAATAAGCGAGTCAAAGTAGTAGATGGGAGTTAATCGACTCGTACTATCCAACTCTCCAATTCTTCCCCTTCGCTAGTGACTGGAGTCGATCGATTCCCATTACTTCTTTGGCGCACATGCTCCCGAGCCGCGCATTCTCCGATTTTCCTATTCCCCTGCTCGCCAGATCAATACTTACATTTTTCTTTGACGTGGGTATTCTTCTATTCCCCGATGGATATGTGACAAGACAATCGTAATTCGCCGCGGTGGAGGGTGTCACGTGCGGTGTCGCGCCCGCAAATGGCGATGCTTCTGGGTAGTAGATGGCGACAGTAAGCAATGTGTAACCAAAAATAGCTATAAATGCTTACGATGTCCGGTCTACATAAAATACGGTGCTCTATTCGACAGGCTAATACAAGTCATGGAAACGCCGCGCATTTCACCGCGCGCGACGGAACGGCAAATTACGATTGTCTTGACCGTCACCGTTCCCCGATTCTTCATTGTCGCGTAGTATGAGTGAGGAGCTTTTCATATTCTATTCACAGGTTTTTTGAGCACTCACCCTGCCATTGCTTCCTAGAGTGCAATGAGCACGAAAGTCGGCAAATCGAGTAGCAAGATCGTTGAAATCCGGTGGTCGTTCCTTATAGGGATTACGTGGATGCATATATCGATTCAACGACATTTTACACTGCAAGTCAGCCTGTTTCCATCCTTAAATTTAATGAATATGACCTTCTAAAGAGCATTTGACATTCAACATTCAGCGAAGTCCAGAAAGACGGCTTAGACACGGGAGGACATTTCAAGAAATTATTTCATTCAAAAAAGCTTAGTAAGAAGTGAAAAAGACATGAGAGACCAAAAAATTGGAAGCTTTTCAACTCCTTCAGCAAATCTGTTTACGACAGTTACAGCAATCCCTGAAAGAGGAGACAGCTTTTACATAATCAAAACGCCTTAATAAAGTTCTGTTCAGGATGAAGTGGAGCGCGGGAACCCAAAGCTATCTCATTTGAAACAATTTTAGCCTCAAATTGGTCAGAATGAACGATAGATATATAAATATTCACCCTAGAAGAATGAAGTGATGGTGTAGATGCTTGCAGATGAGTTTCACTCTAGCTTAATGACTACAAGCTTTCAAAATGCACGTCAAAAGACACAAGGACAGGCGTCTAATTAACGGTGTTTGGTGTAACTACAGCCACAGTTTTTTGTTTCGCATGTTAATCTGTTTTCAAATCGTGCATACAAGTTATTGTTTCTGCTCCTTTGAATTCGTTTGA